AAGATGTTCGGATGAAGTCGAACTGCTGGAATATCAGAAATTTCTGCACAGAACATTCTCTCATGTCCAGGATCAGCTGGTAGATTCTTCAACCAAATCATAAACACTCCATAATCAATAGCTTAGTTTTACTTGCTCACACAGTCCATGAGATCGAAGACCTGATGTCTGGAAAAAATGAAACTCTATGCTAATGAAAGGACGTGAAAATCTTGTGCTTCTAATTTTGTTGAAGCTGACTACTGAATTCTAACAAACATTAGTGAGACAAGACTAAAGTAACAAAAACATTATCTTACATTTAAGGTATGAGCAACAGGAACAACTGAAGGGTCTAGGCCCGAAACATCAGCCTGCCTGCTCCTATGATGTTGCTTGGCCTGCTGTGTTCGTCCAGCTTTACACCTTGTTTTCTAGGAACAACTCTCTGATTGTTATACTACTTAAGTCATTTTTAGGCAGTCCTTTGAAATCAAGGTTGACTCAAATGATTGGTGATTGACTTTCTTTCCCATATACTTTCCTAACAAGTAACTTCTCTGAAATTAGTTGCACAAAATGGAAGTAGGGAGTTCTTGTTTTCTGTCTTTAACTTGCTTACCTAATTGCCATGTATTATTTGTAGCATCAACTGATTGGAGAGTCAGAACTTTGACCTTTGTCCATGCCCAACTCTGCATTTGAGGATGGCTTGTCAACCTGTTAAGTGCACCTGCTAGGTCTTGGCTCTAGATGTTCATTCCCAAAGCTCACGACAAAGGTGCTAGCAACATAACTTAAAAATCTCAAGCTGAAATGATGTATTAAAGCATCACTTCTTGATCCAGTTTTCTTGGATCTAATTCTTTATGTGGTGAATTCTGATCTGCAGTCCCCAACTGCTGTTTGTACATTTAGCATCTCATGAGTCAGTTAACATCATCCAAATGTGCAATGCCACGAAATCCTTCTGAGGCCAAATAGTGAGAAATTAGCAAACATACTACTTGGATATATGTGTAAACATTTTGCTGCTGGAGTTACCTGATTCAACAGCAACCTGTGTGAGGCAAACAGGCCTGTTTAACCACAATGACGATGTCAAACAAGTAGCATACTGTTCTGTTTACCTGGTGGGTAAACCAAGGCCACGTGGTCCCCAGTGTTGAGGCGTCCTTTTTCTAACAAAGCTGCAGCCACTCTCTCTGCTTTCTTGTGCAATTGTATACACGTTGCTGTATTCACAACTGTGCCCTGACGGGTTAAAAGAAATTAATACTTCATGACACAAGTCATAAATTTCTGCTCAATGTCTTCTCCTTTGTGGGCTTATGGGATTACTGCACTCCATACTTAATAGCACAGAAGTCTTTTTTGTTTCTCCACCTACATAATTGCTACGCAATATGCAAAATCAAACTAATGATATGCACATCTTCAAGTATCTTCTATGGCATTACCCAATGGAGTTGTATTTAAAAGGGCACTAATGATTTACTATAGAATGCATAGTGTATTACGTTGCTACTAAGGTCGTGTATCATTTTGTGAAGCTAGAATTTACATGTTGAATAAATACAAGCTGATAGCAATGTTTACTTGTTATTCAGTCAGTTCATTTCACTGGATAGGAAAACTTGGCTTTCAGACAACCAGTCGGATGTATCTGTATTAAAAGTTGTTTTGCACCTATAATTTAGCGTATGAGTGTTGGGAGTACTATGTCATATCCTAGCAAGGCTCTCACGATGTTGCTCACACCAAATCTATGATGTTAAGCTTGATAACATCAGACTTATTATATTAAAGGAAACTGCTTAACCCTTGGAGTCAACAAAAGCTAACTTTAAAAATAGCCAAATTGAGAGGTTAAGATTACATCTTTCAGAGTACATTGGGTAAAATCAAAGGCTCAATATAGGATTGACAAAACAGATACAGTATTCTGATTCCTTGAATTATGTCCTTGGAGAGGTGCTTTGTTTCTTTACACTTTTCTTTAAAGTCAGACATTTGTCTGTAACACAAACTAAGGTGGGAGAGAGTGGCAATGTTTCCTAGCTAATATTTCATAATATTAAAAACAGCAAACAGAGAGACATAGAGACAGTGATAAAGTGCACTCAGGGATATAAAATACTTACAAAATGAAAGAAATCATTGCATGTCTTCTACTGTTTCCTACTAATTATTCTCCATCAATAACTTTATCCACTATGTTACATGACAGTGTTGGATTTTTGGGCAGTACACCCATATGCCAATACCTCTCAAAAATAAAATTGCTATACACCATAAACGGAAATAACAAAACACCTTTTATTCATTACATTTTGATTTGAATTTGTCATCTCTGAAGAATTAGCTTACTTTGATCATGACATACCTTGGCATTTAAGAGGAGGAAAAGAGGGTGATCTGGGGTGGTCTGAGCACGCCAGTGCAGAACATCCGCCAAGAACAGAAACTGGGAAAGGAAGGAAATGTCATGAAGCAGCCAAAGATTGTAAAGATATTAATAAATATTCGTTACAAGGAATTAAAAAGCATTTCAGATTGTACATGGTCATATTTAATAAGGCATCAACTTACAAGGTGCAAGAAGTAGATTTTTCAAATAGAAATAAATTTCTTCAAATAAACCATATTCAACTTATTAGTGGGTAGGTTCAGCAAGTAGTTTGCACTTGCTGATGGTGGTGATGGTTGTTTGTTGGTCGGGTAAGAAGCGGTGCAGACAATGTTGCAGGAAGTAACTTCTGCTTTTTAGCACTAATGACAGAAGTATTCAGAATGCTATTTAAGAGGTAGCTCTAACAGCTATTACACAAATTTTTGCTCCTCAGTACAAGTTAGACAAAGACATTTCAAACAGCAAGTAACAGCACCAGCTGCATAAACAATTTATGTACACTTAAACAAAAAAGGGAAAGGAACACCACGTGCAGTTGGTGTTCTTCTCAATCGGGTAGAACAAGTCAACAATCAAAAGCCTTGAACTATGGTTTTTTTGATAAGGTGCCGTCATACTTACTTAGGAAAGTGAGTCAAAGTATTAACTTTACTGCACATGCAAGATTTGTTTTTTTGCATGATACTGCCTGTGACATGAAAATCCTTACTCTCGAAATATATGGTGGTCTGCAACTTGTGGATTCGTACAGTCATGCACCAAAAAATGGAGGCCATCCAGATGACTTTGGATATCATTCAGAGGTAGCACAGGCAATCTGTCCCACTCCCCTGTTCTTTCTTCACATTGTTAGGCAAATTATTCGTCTTCAGGTACATATTTGAAAACCACTATTGAATCAGCTTCCAGTATACTTTCAGGCAGTGCAGTCTAGATCATCATAATTGCACAAAGAAAAGTCTCTTAAATTCCCCCTGAAAAGAATAACTTCTATTATACACATCTCTTCAGCAGCTGTCAAAAAAATGCAGACTGCAGGAAAAACATGTTCATTTGAAAAGATCTTTTTTGGAGAATTAGTTTGTCATTCTCAAACCCGAAGTTGGTCTGCACCTATCAAAAGGTAAGGAAAATGAGGACTGAAACCATTTTCAGCTTTACAAAGGGCTCATAACATCAGATTCTATATATTTTTGCCAACAGCAGCTTTGCAATGGATCTATTACCTGATAAAATGAGCAAATCGCTACTGCAAATCTGTACAAATAAAAAAAAACGATATTTGTTATGGATTTTTTTTTTATTTGTTCTATTTATTTCAAACTACTGGCCTCCAACAATTCAAATTTGTGAATAAAACAATTACAAGGAAAAAAAAGATTCCAAGCAAATCTTGGACTGTAAAATTGAGCTTAACCCTACACACCATGTTCTGTTGACCCACTATTCTAGCTTGCTAACCTATGTGGGCTCGCAGTTCAGCAATGCCCTGACTTTGAAATTCTAATGTTGTTTTCAAACTTCAAAGCCTCACTCCTCACCCACTTGCAACTCTGCAACGTTCCTTGAGCATTCATTCTCTCAACACAAATGTTTTGAAGATCAATTTAAACTTGGTGCTAAAAAAGAACATTATTCCTTTACACACTCTGTTCAGTTTCAGGACCTGTAACAAATGTTGCATATGATGATGCATATGACAATTCCCTGTAGAACATAAACAAGTCGAAATCACATTACGGATCAGACGGCACAAAACTAATAACATCCTATAACATAAACACAGTATAATACATTACTAAATTATCACTAATACATTTCACAGAATGCCGTACCTTTCGGGCTTGATCGTTGTCCTCAAACTGGGTGATGTCTCTGCCCGAGGCCTGTGCAATTCGCTTTCCTGCCACAAGATTACCAACTATCATGGAAGCAGGTCCCACCTCTGCATTCAATAATAAAAAGGACAAAAACAGAACAGGGAAAAAAAACAAGCAAGAACAGCATTATTTTTGGAGGATCAATTCAGTATTTAGTAACCTGGATACAAACAAAATGCTCCTTTACCGAACTGCGTTTTTAAAAATTAACTATGTCCCAGACATATTACATAATAACGACTGGATATTTAAATCACTGACACATGGAGGATGAAGGATTAGATTTTGTTTTGTCCTGGTACTTGGTGTTTCTTAATCCATCACCCCTTTTAAACAGATGAAAAACAGTGTGAAAGTCTGTAATTCCATCACACTATGGCTTCCCGTCCAGCACAAAATTAACAGAAAAATAACAAGCTCTTGAGCATTTATTTCAGCGCAGCTGGATGGCAAGATAAATATGTTTCAACAGGTATTACACAACGAAATTGGGAGCAAAGTAAATGCCTCATTGCCTAAATTTCTACTAATGCAAACCCAAAAAAGAACATCACACACAAGAAAAAGTAACTGATGCTCACCCAATGGTTGAGCATGTAATTAAAGCAAGTGCTATACAAAGTTGCACCACGTACAAGTAACAGGTTTGATCAATGACCTGTGCTGAGCTGGCTAAGCTTAGCACTGTTGGGAAGCTAAGACCTCTCTGGCAAGAAAGTGAAAAATTAAACAAGGTTTGAAATATGGTTATATTGCAAGGCCAGTTGGGATATGTATTCCTGCAGGCATTAGCTTGTCTGATATACTGTCTAGCTTAGCTAATTTTTAAACAACTGCCAACAGAATATGGTACTGTGAGCAAGCAGTATTCAAGGCACCCATAAAAAAAAATATACAAAATCTTAGCTAAATTTTGTAGTTTTAAACATGTTTAAAAGCTTCTGAACCTGTAAAGAAATTGTATGCTTTGTAGCTTTATGTTTTAAAATTATGACAAGCAATTTCCTTTTTAACTTAAGTATATGGGGGGAGAAAGGGAAGAAAGTTTTCTTGGATAACTAAACCAAGAACAGAAATTCATCACAGGACAAGGATTTTTAAAACCTGTTTACATGGCATTTGTAGGGTTAATACGGTCACCTAGTATGCATCAAATAGAGAACTAGCAACTTAGAACTCCCAGTCTACAGCCAGAGGACGAGAATAAAACAATAGCACAAGAAAAGCTGTTGAGCATATGATTAGGAATTAGAAAATTCCTTTATTCTCACCAAATTCATTCCTAAGAGATGCTGGTAGATTATACCAACCTGGCTGTTTCTGTCTCGGTTTGGGAAGATTCGTAACACAGGTATGGGGGCACATTAAGACATTACATGGGTGCAGCATGCCCTCCAGAAAGCGCTGTTTGGTCTCAGACAAGTGGATGCCTCCTAAAGGAGTCTTGGGAAGTGTGTTAGCTGGTACGAGGGCGAGGCAGTAGACTCCGACCTGATGAATACTATCAATAGCCTGCAAGAGAACAAAAGGCGATCATCATGCTCTGAATGTGAAAGGTCAGTCTTTCAAGAATCTGTGATATAGCCAAAAATCTCTCTTCATTCACCCCAAAGTAATGTTAAATCAACTCTACATACTCTACAAGAGCTAGGGCTGCAAAGTGTTCTAATGTCCCAATATTGAATGAGGTGAATGAGAATGGGAAATGCAGGTAAAATGAACAACTTTGACTATGCCCCCATGACAGAGAATCATTTTTTTTTTGGGGGGGGGGGGGGGGGGTGGAGGGAGTGCAGTGGCAGTGAAGAGAAACAAGAATGTAGGTAATAGAAGGTAACAGTTCAATTTGGGGGATAGATACTGTTCTCTGTGCTGAGAGAGTCCCCAAATCTGTGTTGCTGCCTCGTGCAACGATTAAGGAGCACTCAGGTCTGAAGTGGAACTTGGAGAGAGGGGAGGGATCCAGTTATCATCCATGTGTTACCAACAACAATGGTAGGACTAGAAAAGATCTGAAAGAGTTTGAACAGTTCGGAGCTAATTTAAAAGGCAGAACCTCCAAGCTAATAATCTCAGGATCACCACCTGAGCCACAGGCAAACTGGTGGGGGAAATAAAGTCATGAGTTACATCTGTGGTTCAAGATTGGTATGGGAAAAATGTGTTTTAGAATATGGGGCAGAAGGCAGCCATTCAAATGAGGCAAGCTTTATTTACGCTATGCCAGGGCCAGTGTTTTGGTGGCTACATACAGTTCTACAGAAGGTTTCAACTTAAATAGGGGACAGTGAGGAGAGTGAAAACATAGCCTTAGAAAGCAAAGATTATGTCAGCATTGTGGGGTAGGTATTTTGATAATGATTCCGATAGTGGGACAGAAAGGGATAGGTGTCCAAACATAGAAAAAACAGCAAATACAGTCAAAAGGGAAAAAGACAAAATTAATGGCTCTTCACTTAAATACATGTAGTACATAAGAAGAATTAGGAGCAGGAGGTAGCATTTCGGCCCCTCGAGCCTCCGCCATTTGATATGATCATGGCTGATCTCATCTTGACCTCAACTCTACTTTCCGGCTCGATCTCCATAATTCTTCAACCCATTACTAACTAAAAATTTGTCCACCTCCTCAAATTTACTCAATGTCCTAGCATCCAGTGTACTCCAGGGGTACTGAACTCCACGGATTCACGACCCTTTAAGAGTAGTGATTTCTCATCATTTGTTTAACATCTGCTACCCCTTATCCTAAGATCGTGAGCTCTCAATCTAGAGTGTCCCACATGAGGAAACATCCTTTCTACCCCTTCAATCCCCTTTAGCAATTCATTTACCTCAATTAGATCTCCTCTCATTCATCGAATCATATAGAGGTATACAGCACAGAAACAGACCCTTTGGTCCAACTCATCCATGCCAACCAGATATCCTAAATTAATGTAGTCCCATTTGCCAGCATTTGGCCCATATCCCTCTAAACCCTTCCTATTCACATACAACATTTAAAAGGCATCTGGATGGGTAATTGTACCAGCCTCCACCACTTCCTCTGGCAGCTCATTCCATACACACACCACCCTCTGCATGAGAAAGTTGCCCATTAGGTTCCTTTTAAATCTTTCCCCTCTCACCTAAAACCTATGCCCTCTAGTTTTTGAGTCCCCCAGCACAGGGAAAAGACCTCACATATTTACCCGATCTGTGCCCCTCATGATTTTATAAACCTCTAAAAGGTCAGCCCTCGGCCTCTGATGCTCCAGGGAAAATAGCCCCAACCTATTCAGCCTCTCCCTGTGGCTTAAATCCTCCAATCCTGGCAACATCCTTGTAAATCTTTTCTGAACCCTTTCTAGTATCCTATAGGAAGGAGACCAGAATTGCATGCAATACTCCAAAAGTGGCTGAACCAATGTCCTATACAGCTGCAATATGACCTCCCAACTCCTATACTCAGTGCACTGACCAATAAGGTAAACATACCAAATGCTTTCTTCACTATCCTATCTACCTGCAACTCCACTTTCAAGGGGATATGAACCTGCACTCCAAGGTCTCTTTGTTTGGTAGCACTCCCCAGAACTTTACCATTAAGTGTATAAGTCCGGCCCTGATTTGGCTTTCCAAAATGTAGCACTTCACATTTATCTAAATTAAAATCCATCTGCCACTCTTTGGCCCATTGGCCCATCTGGTCAAGAAATCGTTGGACTGAGGTAACCTTCTTTGCTGTCCATTCCATTTCCGATTTTAGTGTCATCTGCAAACTTACTAACCATACCCTCTATGCTCACATCCAAATCATTTATATAAACGACAAAGAGCAATGGAGCCAGCACCGATCCTTGTGGCACACCGGTGGTCACAAGCCTCCTGTCTGAAAAGAAACAGTCCACCACCACCCTCTGTTTTCTACTTTTGAACCAGTTCTGAATGCAAACAGCTACTTCTCCCTGTATTCAGTATGATCTAACCTTGCTAACTAGTCTATCATGAGGAAACTTATAAAACACCTTACTGATGTCCATATAAATCACATCCATCGCTCTTCCCTCAACAATCCTCTTTTTTCAAAAAACTCAATCAAGTTTGTGAAGCATGATTTCCCAAGCACCAAGCTGTATTGACTATCCCTAATCAGTCTTGCCTTTCCAAATATATGTAAATCCTGTCCCTCAGGATTCCCTCCAACAACTTGCCCACCACTGATGCCAGGCTCACCAGTCTGTAATCCCCTGGCTTTTCCTTATCACTTTTCTTAAAAAGTGGCACAACGTTAGGCAACCTTCACTCTTGCGACACCTTGCCTGGGGCTATCAATGATACAAGTATTTCAGCAAGGGGCTCAGCAATTACTTCCCTAGCTTCCCATTGAGTTATGGGGTACACCTGATCAGGTCCCAGGGACTTATCCACCTTTATGCATTTTAAGACATTCAGCGACTCTCCTCTGTAATATGGACATCTTTCAATATGTCACTGTTTATTGCCCCATGTTCTCTATCTTCCATATCCTTATCCACAATAAACACTGATGCAAAAGACTCGTTTAGTAACTGCCCCCTATCTCCTGCAGTTCCACACATAAGTGACCTTGCTGATCTTTAAGGGGCCCTATTCTCTCCCTAGTTACTCTTTTGTCCTCAATGTATTTGTAGAATCCCTTTAGGTTCTCCTTATCCCTTTTGCCCTCCTGATTTCCCTCTTAAGTATACTCCCACTGCCTTTATACTCAAGGGATTCACTCGATCCCTGCTGTCAATACCTGACATATACTTCCTTCTTTTTCGGGACTAAAACCTCAATATCTCTCGTCATCTGGCATTCCCGATATCTACCAGCCTTGCCCTTCACCCTAACAGGAACATACTGTCTCTGACTCTTGTTATCTCATTTTTGAAGACTTCCCATTTTCTAGCCATCCCTTTACCTGCAAATATCCACCCCCAATCAACTTTTCAAAGTACTTTTCCAGTAACTGTCAAAATTGGCCTTCCACCAATTTAGAACTTTTAGATCAAGTCTATCCTTTTGTACCATTATTTTAAAACTAGTAGAATTATGGTCGCTAGCCCACAGTGCTCCCCCTACTTACACCTTAGTCACCTGTCCTGCCTTATTTCCCAAGATCGGGTCAACTTTTGCACTCTCCAGTAGGTACCTCCAGATACATCAGAACATTTTCTAGTGCAGACTTAAATTCCTCTCCATCTAAGCCCAGACCCAGTTTGTGTTTGGAAAATTAAAATTCACTACCATAACCAGCCTATTATTCTCACAGATAACCGAGGCCTCCGTACAAATTTGTTTCTCAGTTTCCTGCTGACTACTGGGGGGTGTATAGTACAATCTCAATAAGGTGATCGTCCCTTTCTTATTACTCAGTTCCACCCAAATAATAACTTCCCTGGACATATTCCCAGGAATATCCTCCCTAACAACAGCAATGACACTATCCTTATTCAAAAACGTCACATCCCTCCTCTCTTGCTCCCCTTTCTATCCTTCCTATCGCATCTATACCCTGGAACATTAAGCTGCCAGTCCTGTCCATCCCTGAGCCACGTCTATGTAATTGCTATGATATCACATTCCCATGTTCCCAACCATGCCCGGAGTTCATCTGCCCTACCAGTTTAGCTTCCTGCTTTGAGATAAATGCAGTTTAATTCATCAGTCCTAACTCATCCTCTGCTTTGCTCCTGCCTGCCTTGACTGTTTGACTTACTCCTTTTCCCAACTGCATCAGTTTCAGACTGCTATCTTTCCTCAGTATCTCCCTTGTTCCCACACCCGTTTCCATTCCCCCAGTTACTAGTTTAAATCCCCCCAAGCAGCTCTAACAAATCTCCCCACCAGTTTATTAGACCCCTTCCAATTCAGGTCCTTCTTATACAGATCACTCCTACCTCAGAAGAGATTCCAATGATCCAAAAATGTGAATCCTTCTCCCCTGCACCAGCTCCTTCAGTCATGCATTCATCTGCTCTATCCTCCTATTCCTACCCTCAATAGCTTGTGGCACCGGGAGTAATCCAGATATTACTACCCTCGAGGATCTCCTTTTTAAATTCTTACCTAGTTTCCTATATTCTCTCCTCAGACTTTGGTCCTTTTCTCTTCCCATGTTGCTAGTTCCAACATGTACAACAACCTCCCGCTCCTCCCATTTGCCGTCGAGAATATTCTGCGCCTTCTCTGGGGTATCCTAGATCCTGGTTTCAGGGAGGCAGC